ATCTTTCTCTCTTCCTGACTCCTCCTTGACCTCTCTCTGCTTCCCCACGCGATGAGCAGTCGTCCTCCATCTAGGCCTTTCCGCCACACCATTCTGCCTTGGAGAAGGCTGACTACAGATTGAAACCTCTACAAACTGTGAGCCAAAATAAATCTCTCCTCAGGTGTCAAGTATTTTGTTTCACCAACAAGGAAAACAGGACATCAGTCTAACAGGTTTTTATAATGACTTTTTAAACGTGGGACTGCTCTGTCCACATGAAGCCCATAAAGAATCCCGAGTGGATTTATAGGATTTTCTAACCTCACACTACAGGAGACCCACTGGAATCAGGTACTATTGGGACAGGGCACATGCTGCAGTGCAGGAAGTTCAAGGTAAAAGATAGCCTTCCTAGACTAACCAGAGGAAAGTGAGAGGAACGCTGTTTGAATAGCAACAGACATGTGATCAGTCCAAATTCAGCCTGTTGATTGCTCCAAATTAGTTTAAGTCTTCTGATTCAACCCTACTCATTGGTTCAAATTCAATTCTACTGCTTGGTTCAAGTTCAAGCCCACTGTGGTTGGGGTAGCTACCTCCCAGGTTTGGGTGTGGGGCATCCAGGATAGCTGCAACTGTAGCTGTCAATCAATCCACGCCTCTTTATGGCTATTAAAGGGGAAAGGGCAGCGGTAGCCACTTCTAATCTAATCACTCTCCTGGCAGCTCTTGGTCTGCACCACAGATGCTATTCAGTGGGACCAAAGCAGCTGATATTCGTTCATTCTTCCTCCTATATTCTGGCAGTTCATCCAGGACATACTGTCCTTTGGGGAAAACGTCACAGCTTTTCTTCAGAAATTACATGGCAAAATGCTAGAGGAAAAAGAAAAGATTCTAAGAAATTTAAAAGCTCAAACCAGGAGAAAGTTAATTGGCTTCATGCTAACCTTTATAACCTCAATCTTTGAATTTTCTCCTTTTAGAGCAATCACTTCTGTGCTGCCAAAAGAAATAAGATGTGATTTCTTCTAATTCATTACTGCGATCTCCATCAAAGGATAGCAAAGACAGTAATTAGTGCTCCTCACCAAACCAGCCTCTTATTTGACATAAACTGCATTTGTCCTTTGCACAGCTTCTCAGGGAGTACTTCTGATCCTTACAATTTTCTCATAGTTGCTTTCTCCTCCAGATTTTTTCCAACTGTTAACTTTCTTTTAAAGAAAACCAAAATGAACAAATACTACTACCTCGCCTTTGAAGTGAAATGGTCATATGAAATATTAAAGAGAAGGGAAGGGAAGGGTTAGGAAAACCACCCTAGTTTCTTAGCAACACTAGGGTCCAAATATTCCTCTAGAAAGCAGTTTGCAGTTTCCTAATGGGCTAAGACACACTGCTCTTGAGGGTAAAATCCTCCAGGATCCCTGAACTGTAGTGATCTTTTTGTGAACAGTTTGTGAACAGCTATAGAAGCTCTGGTGTCAGACATATGTGAACACTAAACTTGGAACAACAGCAAGACTTGCTCAAGAAGTCCTCCCACCATCCAGTATGTGGTCATGGGTATTGTGTAAAACTCTACCCGGCTTTGAGGCCCTCATGTTTCTAGGACCAGAACACAGCGCAGGAAGGGGGGACCCAAACTCAGAGGTGAGTCTATGGTGACCAAGGTGGCTAGAGCTCATAGGACAGAGACAGAGAAAAGGGAGCTGCACAGAGAACCCCAGATCTGTACAGTCCCTCTGGAAAATTCGGCAGAATCTCCCTTTAGCTTCTTAGAGCAGTTAGTACTGATTCAGCTAAACTTGCTGGAATTTGGGATAGACGAAATTTTAAAAACATATTGTTTTGTTTTTAAGGAAGAACATTGTGAAATTTGATTTGTAATGTACAGTTTAGTAGCCACTAGATGCAGATGACTAAGTAAATTTAAACTAATTAGAAGTAAAATAAGTTTCATAATACAGCCCTTCAGTTGCATTAGCTACATTTTAAGAGCTCAATAGCCACATAGGCTGGAGGCTACTGTACTGACCAGCAAAAATATACAACATCTCCTTCATTATGAAAAGTTCCAATTGAAATTACAGGGAAATACAGTTTTAGTATAATTATGAAGTGAATCATACTCTTCATCCCCATATTTTTTACTTTTTCTTCTATGAAAAGTTTTTAATGTAAATGTACCAATTCAATTTAAAATTTATTTGTAAATTCTGAGTACATAATATTTAAGGGATGTAACTTTGACTTTCAAGAATACCTTATGACATTGAAACATTGTCCTTCTGTAATGGGAAAACAAGTAGAGATAGGCTGTTAAGAGAAAGATAACCAACATATCAACATCCTTCTTCTTCTTCTTTTTTTTAAGACAGTGTCTCACTATGTAGTTGAGACTGACCTGGAACTCAGTATGCAGCCCAGGCTGGTCTCGAACTCACAGTGATCCTCCTGCCTCAGCCTCCTGAGTACTGGGATTACAGGCATGCACCACCATGCCCGGCTTCAACATCCTTCTTGATAGCTAGCTTCAGCAATAATAAATTCTTTTGCATTTGCTTTCAAATGTGTGTTTGATTGGACAATTTCTCAAGTCAGTCAGTTGTCTAGAGTTTCTTATCCTGAAAGCTCGTGAGACTGACATTTTTCTCCTAAGTATGTAGATGTGTAGACCTTTTGAATATAGGGGTATAGTAATAGTGAATCAAATGAGCTCAATTCCACCTATGACTGACAAACAAATTGGAAGTAGAAGAGTCGTATCCATCAGTATCGAAGGCAGGCACACTCTCCAAAGCAGTTTCAATAGCACCACATATGGGTGTCTCTAGGAGCCTGTAACTGGAGTAGAAAGAAAAATCTCCTCTTGAGGTCTCTGTGGGCTTTCTGGCAGATAGGGGTAGAGTGGATGGAGATCAAGTAAAGAAAACGAGCCTGTACCTCATTCTATTCCCTATCTGAGGGTCCCCTGTCACCCCAAAGACAGCAGTGTGTGGCAGCCGAAGAGAGCCTCCCTGTGGGAACTAAGATGGGATTCATGGTACAGCCAAGCACAGCGACAGAATTTCTAGCTACCAATGCCCTGCTCTGCTCAGGCCTCAGGAGAGCAGGCTGAGACTGTACTGGGCTGGGGGACTGTGCAAGATGCACTCAGCAGCAGAGCACTTGCCTGTTGTACGTGAGGCCCTGGGTCTGACTCCCCACACCAAAAAACACAAAACAGAATAAAAAGAACAGTACTAACTTTATAGGAGACTTTAAAAGGGCTCTTAGAGGGCAGTGTGAGGAAGGAGACGGGGCTGAGGGACTGAAGTGACAGAGGGTATCAGAGAAATGAACAAGAATCATCCTGTGCTACTTCTCTTACCCCACTGTCCTGTCAACGTGACACAAATTATTCTTAAGATCATCTCTCTTTATCCCTCAGCTTTTTGCTTAGGAAACAACTACTTCTTTTTTCTTTTTTGAGGAGGCAAAGTTTAAAGTTTACTTCTGCAGAAGGTCACAAGTGCACTCAGACAGGAGGCCGCATGTGGGCTGACTGGTGAGGAAACAGGCTTTTCAAGCCTTCTCCTGTGGGAAGCAGCTAGCCTTTAAATTCACTGGCTGAATTCAAAGGCTTACCTTACTTACCTTTTAAAAAGAAAGGTATTAAATATGTTTTGTAAAAGCAAAAGCACATGATCCATAAATAGATTTGGAAAAAGGCCCAATAATTACTTTAGTTTTTGGAAATTTTATTCTGCATAACTAATATCCTGTCAGATATCATTCCCTTGAATGGTTATGTTTTCATAAATATTTATGGGTTATTTAATATATCATCATCTGAAATAATTCACCTACTGATATTTTTGAGAAGGGTTACATTAAACATTGTGGTGGATCACAGGTCACTAATATAAGTAGCAAAATCAAACTCAAAATCTTTGTGCTTGACTGGAGTGACACAGTTACCAAATTAAACTCCAGAGCCACTATATCCAATAAGGGAAAAAAAAATCTTACTGAGAAATTGTTAGCATAAGGTTAATAGCCTATAATTAATTATTTTCTAAAGTAAAGTTGTAGATTTCTATCAGAGCTCAGTATCCATAGAGATCAATCCAACTAACAGATGCAAGTATTTAAAAGTATTCCTGAATTGGAGCATGAATTCAAAGAAGGCATTTGATTTTCATAGTTTTGAAAAATTGGCTTCTAAAAATAAAAAATGAGGATGTCATAGGGAAGAATGTATTTATTGAAATATTGACAAGCACAACTATGAAGCAGAGAGCAGGATTTAGGAGGTTTGTGTCCAGATGAGAGCCTGGCTCGGTCCTCTCCCCTGAATATGTTTATGTGTGTTTATCATGCTGGCCCCATCAGGACTCTGTATGCAGGATATAAGTTAAACTGAGTGTAGAATTTTGATGACATTTCTGGGGAAATAGCTGTCATATATGGTAATCATCATAGAGGAGTAGAAGCATTTTTTCTTAATGATACTTAATTTTTAAACATGGAGAAACAAGACAGAGTGCAATGGAAATGTACTTCAGAAGACTTGGGTTCTAATTCCTATTCTCACATGGTAGGAGTACAGGGGAGTTGTTGGACCCGAATGGACAGCCGTTTCCTTATCTAATAATTGAGGGGATTGGATTTGACTGTGATGCCCATAAAAACCAGCAGCAGCTAAGCCTTAAGATGATAACGATGTCTGACACTAAGGATTCTGCTGGGAGATGATGATTGTGACAAAACGGAGAGTGTCTGCCTTCTATTAAAGCCATCAGGACTCAGTTCCCATCCAATGCCTCTGGCGAAAGGCAGGCCCTGTGTTGCCCTATGGTCAGATTTTTCAAGAAAGTAGAGACATTCAGACTTTTTTTGTGAGATATTCTGGTTTTTACATGCTAATTTAAAATACATCAGCAACAACACCGTGAAGGCCAAACTAAATTTATGTGGGGTGGGGTGGGGCTGGAGCCGCCATTTTGCTGCCTCTGATGTGATGTGCTCCAGCTTCTTCTTCCTCTGTGGTTTATGGGTGGATGGAGAGGGTGATCCTGGGGCCAGAGAGCACTAACTCTCTGTGCAACTCTATTTAATCTTCTTTTCATTTGGTTTCATTAACATATGTATACAGTAGGGAATCAGAGCAACCACAGTCAATGGGATGGATGCACTCTTACAGAAAGACAGCATGTAAAATAAATGCTCTGTGTGAGTTGGGATCTTGATGAAGTGGTAGAGCTGCAGTGTGGTCAGTGAGGTCATGGCACAGAGCACCCGGAAGCTTGGCTTATAGCCATTTTCCCCTCGGCAGCTCAAAAGGAACATTTCTGAGTTGATTGCAAACCCCAAGCCAAAGAGGACCCCAAGGTTTCTCACAAGTCCAGCAAAAGGTGTGGTGTCAATATGGATCCAGTCTGGGTTGGCACACCATTTTTTGGCTATGGGCACAGACCATAGCAGATCAATGTCGAGTAGTCTGAGAAGCAGGTAAAAGCCAAATGCAAACAGGAAGAGGAAGAGATTGGTCTTCAGGTATGTGCTCAAGCTGGCCGTGTGGATGCTTGGAGTGTGTTCAAAGGCCTCTGCCACCAGCATGCCTGGGGATTGGAAGGAGACACTTATGATTTCTTGAGGCCCACAGGAATGGTACCTTTTGCATTAAGTAATTTAGCTATAATTTTCAATGGCAAAGGGCTTTGACATCTACGTTCTGTCAATTTCCTAAATACTTTTTTAGGCATTAACTGAGAACACAATTTGCCTCACGGTTTTTTTAACTATCCGTATTGTTTCATAGGGATCAGGCAAGAGTTGGCGTCACTGAGTGACAACCCACTTTATAGGCAGAATAATCTACGGTCCTGCAATTAATATTTCAGTTGTCACAACCCATTAGTTTAGAGAGCTTTTGCAAGGTACATGGGGCTGAACATCAGAAACTCAGTCATGGTAAACACAGCTCAGGAATGCTAAATGAAATCCAGCCATGCAATAGCCACCTCAGATGTTTCAGAGAGATGTCTTGATGGCAGGTTTCAAGGTTATTAAGTCTCCCAAACCAAGGCACAAGTGCCATGGCTGCAGGGAGCTTCAGGAGTTGGCCTTTGCTGTAGTCACATGTCAGAGAAGCCCATTGCACTACACAGTTATGCATCTGTATCATTGGGTGAAACTGTGTCATTGTGTATGTGGAGGCTATGAGAAGTGTGTAGAACATCTAAGCTCCTAGGGTAGCATTTAGCATCAGTGGCTAAATAGAACGGCCTCTGAAATTGGAAGTGATTACCGAAGAGAAACTGACACAAGAAAGCAAAGTAAAACTTTTCAAATGATGCAACTGAAGATAAGTGATCATATTTACCACCAATTACTCCAAGGATAACTTGATGAGGAAAATGTGTTGCTATGAATACTCTGGAGATGCAGACACTGATTTGTATCAACCAAAAAAGACTCCAAAGAAATGACCAGGTCAGTCTACAATGGAAGAATACGTACAAGTGTAAAATGCAAACAGACTGTTTCACTCATAAAAAGGGAGTGGGGGTGACACCAGAGGAATCTTCAAGCTATGACAGAACAGGATTCTAGTCTTTTCTCCAAAATGTGTTCATGTGCTCCATGGGATTCAGACACTTCAACAGCGGTTTCTACATTTCTTCATATGTTAAATTTAACTGGCACTGTCTCCTGAGATTTTAAGAAATGCCAAAAAGGAACCAATTCAATGTCTTTGAAATAAGGAAAACTGTTTTAAAGGAAAAGCATTTGGGGAATTTTCGAGGCAATAATATCAAGGACAGACCAATATCATTGGTACTTTCTCTTTACCTTCTTCTCTCAGAATTTCTTTGTTTGAAGAAAACACACTGGAGAAGCAACTACCCTTTAAATAGGAAGAGAATGAGCATTCTATCCAGGGCAACTTCTCAAAAAGTTCTGGTTCCTTGTTTTTTGAGATACAGAGAGTAAGGAACAAGGAAATAGGTTATTACTTTCATTTCAAAGCAGCAGTGTGCAAAATATTTATAAAAATATTAAAATGCAAACAATGCTTGTCACTCAAAAAAAGTTAAAAGTATAGAATTTTAGGAATCCTTAATGGTTGATCCCTGATAACCAGACCAAATTTACATAAAGACTGAGCAATGAACAGACATGAGAATATCAAAGAGGAAGTAGGCAGGGGCTATCCACATGGACAAATAAAAAGGAGTAAGTAAAAAGGTACTCAAGTTTTTACAGATGGAGGAAATCTTGCTGTCATAAAAATAAAAACGGAGCTGTAAGAATTTTTAAAGGAACTTTCCTATTTTAAAGGAAATAATGTTAATTGAAAAAAGGAATAAACTACAGAGACTTGTTTCTTATATTCTTCAATACTACTTTAAAAAGCAAAATATGTGGTAGATCTTGAAATGTTTTAATTTAAAAGACCTTATATAAAATGGTATGTCTTAGTTATTTTGTAGGCTTCACTGACACATCTTAGGTAGCCTAATAATTTATACCTAAAGTGGGACTAAGGATTTTTAAAAAAGGTTTCAGGGGAGAAGGAAATGCCTCAATTCCTACAAATCATGAGTGATCTTAAAGTGCTGTGCCTTTCTAAACATTAAGAAATTTCCTAACATTGTCTACTAACATTCAAATTTAAGTTTGCTTCTATGTTTTTAATTAAAAAGTCATTAAAGCTAGAATACATGTATTGCTCTAAAAAGCATGGGCTGTTTAAAGTAGAAAACATAATTTTGCCACAAAAATGATGCATTCAAAGGGAATGATGATTCTTAAAACTTCCAGTTAATCTTAAAGCAGGAGAACTTGCACACAAAAATTTTTTTTCTTACAAAATTTTAGATGATTTATTTAGGAGGAGCTACCAAAATAAGAATTGAATTTTGGAAACCGAAAGGCACATTTAGCAAGTCATTAGTCAGTTAAACATTTCCAACTCTATTCTAAAGTGGCAATAGCGATGAGCTAATTAGGACATTATCTTAAAGCAAGATATTAATTCCCTATTCACTCTGCTACTTTGGCTATGATAGAACAGCATAAGCACATTTTATTCAACAACTAAATATACACTAAAATGAATTCTTAGAAGAGACTGTGTTCAAAGATGTTAATTCCAACGCTACAGACACTGGAGCCAAGCTGACCTGTGCAGAGTGACAGAGAACTTATCCATCCGACCGACAGAGTGGCTCAGGGCAGCCGTTACCATGACATACCACACACACGATGAACCCATTGCGTGGCCAGAGGGACTTCCTGCAACAAGTAGCATCCATTTGAAAGATGGTTAATTAAATATCAAGGTCAGAAATGGACATGACAACAGTTGGATTGCCACAAGAATTACAAATAACTCAGGAAAAAACCCACAGGATATTGACAATATGTAATGTTTAGGTACTTACTTTGGCAGCACATGTACTAAAATGTAATGTTAAGGAAGCAGGTAAAAATAAAGAAAATTGAGTAAATGCTATTTCAAAAATATTTCTTCTAGGTTTTCAAGTTCATTGAATTCCAGAAGTCTATATATTGCAGGATAGCTAAGAACTTAGGCTTTTGCACCAAAGTCCAACACAACACTACTCATTCTTCATACCTTATTGTTTTTAATTGAAAGAACATTAAAGTATTTATTTGGATCTTGAATCAGTTTATTTTCCTCTGGCTGAAAAGTCAGATTCTAAAGAATAGCATGGCTAGGTTTGTGGTTTACTGACTGACTTAGAAATGACAGCTGTGCCCAAGCAGCTATCTGTATGCCTAACTTGTGGTCACTGCAGTGAGAATCTTTGTTAAGCAGCAGGAGTGAGGAGAAGCTGGAGAGGGGACATTAAACCCCACAGAAAAATCAGGTAGCCTCTCTAATCCCAGAATGTCTCTTCCATGCTGCTTGGTTTTACTTTTAATCACTGTACTTTGATGTTGTCCCTGATTTTTCCCTTACTAGACATTCATTCTGGTTAAACACAGTCTGTCTTTGAAAAAAACAAGACACTAGTCTCCCTTTTGTTATATGAAGACAAAGCTGTTCCCAATCTATAGGAATTTTCAAAAGCTTTTGTATACCTAAGAGAATTGTATGTATGTCTCCAAGGGTAAATATAGAATATCTCTCTCTCTCTCTCTCTCCACACACACACACACACACACACACACACACACACACACACACACCAGAGGACAGAATAAATGCTAGGAAGTGCTAGAACAGACCAAAACAAAATCTGAGTTATCTCCAAGATTATCCACCAATAAATTCATGTATTCATTCATCACATTAATTTCACAAAGATAAAAATACATGTCGCCCCTGCCCTGATGAGGCACAGAGTCTAGGCAGCCAGATTATAATAATGGAATTATAGTATAGTATGATAAGTGATATAACAGACATACGTATATTTTATGGGAGCAAAAAGGACATCCAGAAAATGCCTCAGAAGACATACATTCACTATATTCAGGGCTATTTTCAAAAGATTTCAAATGGCAAGAATTTTATACTATGTACCTGGTGAGATACAATAAAACACATGAATTAAAACATGTAATTTTCTTTTATATACATTTCAAATAACCTTTTTGCAATCTTTCTTTTGCTGTTGGAGGTGCTGGGGCTCAAACGCAGGGCCTTGGACATCCTCAGTGAGCACTCTGCCACTGAGCTACATCCCAGTCCTTCTCTTTATAGTCTTAAATTTCTTATTCAGAATATTATTTATAACAAGAAGGAAGTGTTCCAAGAAGCCTATGTATATATCACACATATGAGAGAGAAAAAATTGTTCTAAGAATAGAGATTGTATTTACCTGAAACAGTAATATTGGGAAGACCTTCCCCTTCTTATGAAAATTGTGTCTGTTCTCTCATTCATGAGCTTCTTGGGAGACCTATCATAACTTTAAAACTTGCTGAACAGGAGATAAGTCAACACTTCTAGGACCTTAATATAGTTCTTTGGCAATTTGTTTTGTTTTTCTCTTTGTTGTAGTATCAAGTCATTACAGTCTTCCAAAAAGTAAATGCTAAATTATAAACTCATTTGGGGAGTATTCTCCCAACCTACCCATGTACCAGCAGCAAAATGGAATTTCATTATTCATAAATCTTCTCTCTGATTAGCAATTTTGATGCTTATGAACATTTAGCATCCTCACTCGTGACATTTTTGTTAATACTCTATATAATGTCCTTACCATTATGGGATGATAATCATACACAATGACTGTCTGTTGCAAAGTCTTCAGTAACTTTAGGCTACTTTAATTGCTTACCTGGACCTGTTTCACAGGTAGTAGGGAACTGTTCAAGGCATGGGCTTGAGTGATTTGGGCAAATCTGAGTTTCTTGAACCCACCAGTAAGGCCGATGACCAAATAATATCCTGTATTGAAAAAATATAAATATTCATTTATTATATTTAAACACACAATTATTACTTAGTTGGGGACTATTGTCTTCTATAAAATGACTTAAATAGAAAGTTGATGAGGAAAGCTCATAATTAAAAGATTCTGAAGTTACTTGGGTTCTGGTCTTTCACTCACTGTAGAGGATGGTAGTCATTAGGGGTTTCAGCACCCTTCTGTCCCATAAACATAGGGACTTTTTCCTTGTAAGACATGTCCTCTGGGTGCTTTCGGTACTTAGAAAATATCAAAGTGATCTCTGAAAGCATCAACTTATTCATAATGATGCTGCTCATTTAATGAACTTCTCGGTTAATCAGAAAATGTTATGAGGTTTTGTAATTTCTATTTAGACATCTAGTTTTGATTTTTATATTAAGTAGTATGTTTGAAAGATGTTCCAAGTTAAATTATACACATCTGAAATTTGAGCTGAAGCAACAAGTTTAAGAGGTTTTTAGGGAAAAGGAAACAAAACAGAAATCTTACCATTTAAATATAAGATTGAACCAATCCCCAATGACTGCTACCCATATCATCTTAGTTCCAACTGTCTGATTAAGTTGAAACCAAAGTGGAAAATAAATAGAAAAGATGTTCCTGGGATCTCCAACATTGGACATAAAATTTAGAAAATCATAATAAGCTCGGTAGTCCTTCTGCAAATGTTGAATAATGAACACACCGTTCCTATGAAGAAAATCCATCCTTGGAAACAGGCAGATGTAAACATAGAGCAGTTGGGGATGAGTGTTCTGTTGCCCACTGGTTTTGTACACTACCCTGATGACGTGTGAGGCCATTACTGTGACATGCGACACTCGCCATCTGTGGGGAAGTCATGGCTCTGTTCACCTCTGTTGAAAAGGTCAACTGTTTGTGGTTTTAACTGGTGGAAAAGAAGTGAGGTACATGCTGATCTGTGGCAATTTGAAGAGAAATTTGGACAAAGCACAATGAATTTCTTATGTAACCTCCCATTTGTGTGAACAGTTGGACTGTGTTTGCTGGACATTTTTTGCACAGTTCATTTCCTCCAGAGGCAGACATTAGCAATTTCTATGCTTGGCCAGAAGAGTATGCAAATAATTATTGCATGTCAAATAGCTCTTATTAAAGCCTTGCATTTAATATCAGATAGACTGTAACTCTGACCGTTCTATTGGATCTTTGAGGAAAATGATAAAGATCTGGGCATGAAAATTTTATGAGATATGACAGAGTATTTTCTGATTACAGACTTTTGAATAAAAATAGTTTTATGTTTATTACCAAAGAGGAATAGAAGGTATATGACATAAATAAAGAAATATACAGGATATAGGAAATCTGGAAGGAAACATGTTACTTTTTGACTGCAAGACAAAAGTAAAAAGCAGAAATAGGAGCCTTTGAGATAATAGAAATGTGTTAAGATTGACTTCTGTTTTTCATCAACTGGAGAATATAGTTGAGAGGATTTGAGAGTTGCTCTTGTGACAAAGATGTGAAATCAGAGCACTCTGACCAATCACCAGAAGTAAGTGGGAAGCAACCAAACAAAAATCTTAAGTGGGAATGAACAGAAGGGCAGGATAGAGACCTAAAGGTCTTAGTCAGAGTGAGGGGCTGGCATTATAGAACACTCCGTTCTGTCTCGGGAAGTAAATGTGGAACCAAATGAACCCGGCCAGGCGGCCAAAGATGGCTCTAGGTACAGTATTGGTATCTCACTGATTAGATATCAGCTTTGCCAATCACAGCCTCCTTCACTAGAAGCCGTCTTCACAGGCTCTGAATGGCACTCTGAATTTCTCTTTCAGTCTTGTCCTAGTATTTAACAGCATCATTATTATTAGTATCTGCTGCCTCTCTGGCCTCTGTTGCTTGTCCTGGAAGAAAAGTTTTTATTGACCATTAACATCTTTTGGGGTGCTTTTTGGAAAGTGATATCTTTGTCTCATCCCAGATAAACTTAATTTTGGATGAGGAGTAGTATAAAAGTACTTCCCAAAAGATTCCAATGTAGAATCGGGGTTTTGAATTGTGCTAAAGTGACCCACGTGAAATATTACACTTGATTAATCAGTCTATGCTTCTGGCTTTATTGTTAGCATATTCAGGTTCTATAACTTCCATAATCTCTTTAATGAGCCATGAAGAAAGACATAACTTACCTTTATTCCTTTTCTAAGAAGTGTTTGAGCTACATAATTCATAATTCTCATTTTCTTCAGACGTTCTTGTCCTTAAATCGGGTCAGAATGATATCAAATAAATTTTGTCTTACAATTAAAATTAAACTTAAAGCCCATTCAACACTTCAGAGTCTGTGGGCTGTGAGGAAGCTGGCTGTACATTAGCTTTTCATCTTGGGTAGTTAATTTAGAGAGACTGTCTCCTGAGGACCATGCAGTTCTTTAGACTGTGGGATAATTACCTGAAACAAAATCACCTTGATTCCTTTTGGCTTTTAACGGAATCCGCTAAACCTTTTTATATTGATCATAGTTCATTATTTTAGTCTTTTCAAATAATAGCTTCTATGCAGTTCCTTAGTGTTGCTTCTCTGACAAGGTCCTCAACACTCCTTTGACAAACATTTTTAAAGGACATTGTATTCATTTGTGGGGACTCCCATTACACAGTATTAGAATGTATGGCTAAATCAACAAAAAATGTATTTTCTCATAACTCTGGAGGGTAGAGTCTGAGACTGAACGGTCAACAGGGTTGCTTTCGGAGGGAGGGAGGTCTCTCTCTCTCTCTCTCTCTCTCTCTCTCTCTGAGGTTGTAGATGACTGCCATCTGCTTGTGTCTTCACATGACCTTCCCCTGTCTCAATTTCTTCTTCTCAAAAGGATGCCAGTCACATTGGGTTGGGGCCCAACTCAGTGGTCTCATTTTAGCTTGATCTTCCTCTCCAAATAGTCATATTCTGGGATGCTAAGGTTTAAGACTTCAGCATATCAATCTTGGGAAAACATATTTTGACCCATTAGAGAGATTTAAACACAATTTGTAGTTGCCTATTTCTTTCGAATTTACTTGGTATTTATCTCCTGCACTGCCATATAAGCTGCATAAAATAAGGGCTCATATTTGCTCTGTGGACTTGCCAGAGCACTCAGCCTGGATCCACACAGGGGCTGACAGCTAGGGAAGTTCATGAAGCTTGTGTGGCCCCTGAGAGAATGGGTTGCTGCTGGGAGTGCTCAAGCAAATTAATAATTTTATATTAATTTTTTAAAAAAGAGAGTCCCCTAGTATTACAATAGCTTTAGATTCTGCAGTGCCTGGAACTTCCCTTGGACCCACTATTGTTGTCAGTATCTACTGAATGAACAAATGACTGAACAAAATTTAATAGGAGCATCCGGGCATGGTGGTGCACGCCTGTAATCCCAGCACTTGGGAGGCTGAGGCAGGAGGATGGCTGTGAGTTTGAGACCAGCCTGGGCTACATAGTGAGTTCCAGGTCAGTCTCAACTACATAGTGAGACCCTGTCTCAAAAAAACAAAACAAAACAATAGGAGTGCTAATTTATAAAGACACTATGTTTTTTTAAATGCTTATTTGCTTAGTACAGATTCAAATGTATTTTATTTTCCTACAGAGATAATGTTATAAAGTGACCAGACCAAGAAAATGTAATAGAGGAGAAAAATGTATATAAGTTTTGTCTAAAACACACACACACACACACACATAAATGCTTATGTTTAATGAGAATAAAAAATGTTTTAAGTTCTTTAAGGTTTACCATGAAGAGAGCAAAGGAAGCAGGGATACAAACTAGAATTCTTTGAATATACTTTTGTTATAGATTTGACTTTAAAACCCTGTAAATATTTTACATAATTATAAAGCAAAATTAAAGTTAAAACAATTCATGCAAAAGTTAAAAAAATGGAAGAAATTTTAAAAGTGAAAACACTAGGGCCAGGGATGTAGCTGAGTGGCCCCTCACCTGCCGAGGTCCTGCGTTTGATTTCCAATACCAAAAAAAAGAAAAAGAAAGAAGACTTAACTCCTTATACTAGTGAACCATTTGTCAGCACTGAAATGTTGTTTTCTGATTTGTTCCAGTGAGGAATCTCTTTTTAAACATTTCCTTAGTCCTCTTCTGCTTGTCTTCCACCCCAGAGTTGCTGTAGCCTGGGGCCGAGGTCCTGCCCAGGACCTATGCTAAGCAGAGGGAGACACAACAGTTTAGTTCTTTCCAGCACTAATAATCTTCCAGTGGAGCTTTTCTCTCCAATAACAGACTGCTTAACGAACTAAGTCACCTCAAAGCTAAGGTCGTTCGAATTTCAGTTGTGTTCCAAATCAATTCAATAAAGCCAGGTCTAAGCCACCTAAATCAAGATTCAAAAACAAAGTAGACCTGCCGCTGTGCTCAGCTGTCTTTTGAGATTGTTTTTCTCAAAGTGTGATCCACCCACGGACCATCTGCCTCCTCCGACTACCTCATGCAAATGTCTAGGCCCACTCCTGATCACAGAACCAGTCTCTTTGGGAAATGTCCAGAAATTTGCCTCTTAATCAGCTCCTGCACTGTGCTGGTGCACATCAAGTTTTAGAAGTTCTGTTTTAATTCTCCTCTCCTTTGATATAAGGTGTCTCTGCCTCCTACGCTCTTGGTGGAGTTGTCCCTCCCTTGCATCACTTTCTCAATGAGCATTTTTTCTCGCTTGCCTTGTTCAGAGTTGTATTGTTTCATTTCTTTTCACAGATGTGGGCGGTTCTCATGTCCCTCATTTCTATTCCCTTCTCCCTGAAAGCACATGGTAAATGCTAAAAAAAAATTAGCTCTAATTAATATTAGTTATTATTATTTTGCCAAATAGTTTGTCAAAGTGGAAATGAAGTCCAGTGCTGAGATTTTTGATCAGGGCAGAAGTAGGGCAAAGCCACAGAAGTACAGGCTTACACAAAGTTTTTATGTTGTATCTGTTTTGTATTGTGACATCATTGCCTCTTTTTCTGTGCCTTTTTTCTCTCTTCCCTCTGTTTCTTTGTGTCTCTGTCTCTCCTTTTTTTTTTTCTCTGTCTCACCGTTGGTATCACACCAAGTACTTAGTTATTTAAGTCTTTGAACTGATCACTGTCTCTAACCTTACTCTGTAGCCTGAGAGCAAAGATAGCTCCAAGAAAGCAGAGACAATTGTTCACAAATGCATCTGGAAATCAAAGGAAATGTCCTTTACATAATAAAGCATCTTTAGAGACTTGCACAGCCAACGACCATTCCTTTCTGAATCAGTTCATTTTCTTTCACTATAGTAGAATTCTCCATTTGATTCCTCTAAACATTCAACAACTAGAATCCTGCTGTGCCAGGAGAATATTTTTGGAAGAAATCTCTCCAGTCACTAGGCTGTCAGTAACCAAGTTTGATTTATTTAAGGGTCAGTAGATGTCCTGAAATTGCTTGCAGAATGTTTGTGCTTGTGCACATTTCTTGGAAGAAGGCCACAGCTTTCACCAGATTATCAATGGAATCCCTGACCCAAACAAATTAACTACAACATGAAGTTCACTGGCATCCCATGTACCATCTAGGGTGCTTATACACAGGATCGTTTTCTTAGTTCCCTTAGCAGTATCTTCAGTATTCCATTCAGTGTGGATTTGCTTATCTTAACGACATTCTTAAAGACTGTTTTTGTTTTAAAAAAAAATTTTTTTTTAAAAAAAAATTTTTTTTTAAAAAAAAATTTTTTTTTAAAAAAAAATTTTTTTTTAAAAAAAAATTTTTTTTATTACTGTAGCCAGTCTCCTGGTGTTTTGTTTTTAGTTAGTTCTGTAATGGAATACTTTCAGTTCTTTCCAGAATGTTCGCATTCTGGTTCATTTAAAATTTCCCTATGTTTTGATTCAAGCAAATTCTGCCTGTTTTACTTAGATTCCAACATGTCATACAGAGGCTAGGTTTTCTTCAATACACGTTGCCACATCAAATATTATATAACCCTGAGATTTATTCTTAACATAAAATGAGCCATTCATCTTTGAGTTATAGCGTTCACTGCAATTCAACCTCATTCAGGGCAATTTGGCTTTAGTTTGTGTCACTTATGCTGTAGAAGCAAAACAAAAATAGATTTTGGAGGCATTGACCTTTCGTCTTCATGCATGGTCATTTTCCTTTCACCACAGACTTATCTGCCTTCTCTAAAAGAAATTGTTTTTGAGATCTCTCCAGTGTCACCTTGCAATGTAAAATTGATTTATTTCATACTGAGTGTAGACCGTGGTGACTTTCAGAAATAATTACCTCAATTCTGGCTAGCATCCCAGGAATATTGGCATTCTATAATGACACTATTATAAATGATCCATTAGTCTCATTATGTACTCTTCTCTATAGATGATTATGACTCATACATTCGTAATCGTTTACTTGGATCACTAAAGGAACCAAAAGAGTGGCCCATTGAGCAATTTCCTATTAATTTTCTTACAGTAGAGCTAAGATATTGCATATTATAGACAACAGAGAGAGTCCTTACTAAGTGTAAGAGAACCTCAGACTTCAGTGTGCATCCACCTCACTCCGGGAGTTGTTACAACACATCACAGAGGTCATTGGGAGTCTGATATGGTAGGCATGAGGGGATCTTGAAATTGCATTCCTAACAAGTTCCCTGATGATAGTATTGTTAGGTGGGGAACCTCACTTTTGAGAAGCAGTAGTTTAAGATTGATTCATACATGTACAGGGAAAAACAGAAATAGAACATATCTCAAGAATCTTGAGCTCCATTAGAATAAGTATTTGCACAAATAACATTTCACTGTGCATTTGGAGGTGAAAAGATGAGTAAATGGAACTGAGGCAAGGCAGATACAGTATAACTTTCAATCTATGTGGCTTCAGAGCTTTTGTGAAGTAGAGCCAAGTGACAGGGGGCTTGATACACATGTAGAATTTGGAAATGCAAAATGTAGGATAATAGGAAAAATAAATTCTAGCATATAATGGAGATAATAATACCATTATCTTGCCAAAAAACTTTAATCTGAATAGATTACATTTCATAGCTATAAAAGAAATTTCTATTTTTGACATGTACGAAACAACTGAAAAATTATACACAGAGTGATCAACCTCCTGAAGACAGAAAGTAGAATGTTGGCTGCCACAGTGTAGCAGGAGGAGAGAATTGAATTTATTGTTGAATGGGTACAGAGTTTCAGTTTTGCATGACAAAAAAGTTCTGGAGCTAAATAATGTTGATAATTGCACAGCACCATAGAATGCCAGTAAACTGTTAAGAATTGTAAATTTTGTTATGTATATTTTACCAAAAGTTTTTAAAAACTGAATTTTTTCACTGTATTAACTGTTTTCTGAGTATTTACAAAAATATACTTTTTCTCTGAAGCTTATTCTTCATTTTTTTAATTTTTATAACTTTATTGAAGGATAATATATGTGCCATAAACTTAACTATTTTGAATATACAATTCAATGATTTTTAGTAAATTTAGAGTTGTCACTAATCACCACACAACAGATTTAGAACATTTTCATTAGCTCAGAAAGTTTCTTTGTACCCTCTGGCAGTCACGGTCTGCTTCTTTTCCTGGCCACAGGCAACCACTGAACTGTTTCCTGTCTCTATGGATTTCTGTCTTCTAGTTATGTCATAAAAATGGAATAATGCACAGTAATATGTAGTCGTTTGCATCTCACTTCCCTCACTTGTCATCATGTTCTTGAGCAGTTTTTGGTGAATAAATGCTTCTCAGTTTTATTGAAGCCTTCAATCAATTTCCAGGGCACTGAAATGGTTGTTTTTGATGATTATGGACAATTTTATAATTTGGGGGGGGTGGGTTAATGACTTCAGATCTTCACCATGCTGGGGATCTCAGTGTTTCCCTTATTTTATTTTATGTTTAATTCTAGGAATATGAAAGTTTCAGGTGCTGAAGATAGACTTCACTTTTGAAACTATTTTGCTCATAGCAATTTCAGAAGACTCATTTTCTTGGATTGTTTATTCCTGTGCTTTCTGACATTGCGCATGCAGCTATCTACAGGATTTTTAATTTCTGTCCAGAGCCTTTTGAATACAATGAGGAGTTTCTATATAATAAATTCTTAACCAGGAACATGCAGGAATAGCTTTCTTCTCTTCTGAATTCATAGTAATGCTTATTATTTCTTATTTTCTCAGTGAATGTGTTTTCAAAGTTTTTGTGCTAGCATTTTGGGTTGAACATAAATGTGAATATAGAGATCCTTAGACTTAGTAAGGTGGGGAACTTCTAGTCTAAACCATGGCATTACTCATCATTTCTATCCTTCACTCTGCCTTTAAGATGGGAAATACCTCTGTAGGGTATGTGCTATGGCGACAACTCCTTTTTCTCCTTAAAGCTTGTCATTCTTGACATATTGGAGAAAAAATTAAGTTTTCAGGGAAGGAACGGTGAACTTGCAGTTGGTCTTAGACATGCTCCTTATAATCACCATCCAGAAGTACCTCCAGACTGGGAAGATGTACCATCGTCCTACTCCTCAGCCTGCAGAAATTGAACCCTAGGTCATAGATCATATATCCCAGAGTTCAGTATGACACATAATAGATAATAAATCTTGGCTGGATTGGAATGAAAGGCACATAAGTATGGTGGTGGTGATGATGGTGGTGGAGTGAGGGTGGTGATGAGGTAGGAGAGGACCTCATCTTTTTCCCCTTTCTAAAAGCTGAGAAAGCTGGGGTCTTGTTCTGTGTGCTGAACAGAAAGAAAGGATAGGTGTCCCTAGTTATGCTTCAAAGAGTAGAAAGAAATCACTTCCCCATTCTTTCGGAGACTGTTAACAATCCAAACACCAATAGTGAGAAACAAAACAAAACAAAAACGAAGGATTTCGGAAATACTTTGCTACATTGCCAGGGAACGTTGAGTCTGGAGGTCTCAGATTAAAAACTACGGATCCCAGAATGCCCTGTACTTTAGATTTTTTTCCCGCGAGAGTTCCGGAGGCCGAGCTCACCAATTACTGAATAGCAAACCAGCTATATTAGCCAATCAGAAGGCGAGTGGGCTGGGGTGGGAGGAGGCGGGAAGTGCCCCAGGTTTGAAATCGGAAATTTGGCGCTGTTGTGAGAATTGGGTCTGGATATAGGCTGGGACCTGGAGGTCGCGCTGATTTGAGGGGAAGGCAGCTGAGCTCGGGCCTGTCAGGCAGGGCGACGAAGGTGGGAGCCTGGCTAGGCTCTTTGATTTGTCTGTTGTAATAGGGGAAATTAGGTTGGAAGAGCATGTTTGTACGTATTACGGGTGGCGTTTGTGAAAAGCGCGTCTTTTCGCTCTTTGGGCTCCGAGGCCAGGGTGGAGGTTGGGGGCAGCGGGGAGGCCTAGGGGTTTTGGGTTTCGCTAAACAAGATGTCTTTGGCCATCCTAGTGAGGATTTAGCGTCGCAGAGAACTGTTGGGGCTTGGAGTATTCCAAGATATCCCTTTACAGAGGATAACGAGGCTGGATTGATGAAGTGGACTGAACCTCCAAATTCCCACCCCAAGCTGTGCTTTTAACTGTGCCTTTAACTGCTTTTCCTGTTCCGGGATGGGAAGGAGAGGCAGGGTAAATGTGTTAGGTCTTACGGGACCGGTTAGGGTGGGGTGTCGATGGCCATCTTATGATCTAGGCTGGAATGACCGGGCCATAGAAGTCGTCAGCTTTATTTGCGAGAAAAAGTCAGAGTTAGTTTCTCCAGGGTCATAGAGCTGTGAGTGTCCTGCGCAATTACATTTTACTCACAAGTCCTTAGGAGGTAAAGGTGTTTTAGATCCTTGCTGCACGTGAATCACAGTTAGGCCCAGGTGGCTTGAATTATCAGGAAATGTGTAGGACGAAATGTTCGGTTGTTAACCATTCTCTAGCAAGAGTCAGACTGTCAGAGCATACTTGGTTTGAATATGTGCTTTATTTGGTTTTAATAACTTCTAAAATACGTGTTTTATGTTTTGTAGTGTCTTGCACAATGGTAGAGGATGAGCTGGCACTCTTCGATAAAAGCATAAATGAATTTGGAAATAAGTTCAAAAACACTCTCAGTGACACTCCCTGTCAGATGGTGGGACTGAGAGATGCCTACAAGGACTCCATTAAAGCCCTGGCAGGTACTTACAGCTAACTTTTAACTTGCTGGTTTTGCTATTCTTGTTTTGCAGTGCTATGTCAGCCAAATCGAAATTCAATTTCAATATCTCTTTCAGAAAAGCTGTCTGTGAAGTTAAAGGAAGAAGAACGAATGGTTGAGATGTTTCTGGAATATCAAAATCGTATGTGAAAATCTGTAGATCAGTTTTTTATATTAAATATATTTATCATGAAATCTCTTACAAGACAATGTAGTGCTCATGTTTATACAATTACACTTATATACTCATATATATATATATATATACATACATATAAATTATAAACACGTTCTCATTACCCAGCTTAAGAAATTGGGCATTGTATGTTATACCTTCCACCTTCTAGAACTACTAATATTTTGTTTAATATTGTGTTTTTAATGTCATGTAAATTTCATCATTTTGTATGTTTCCTGTTCCTTTTTTTTTACTTATATTATACTTGGGAGATTTATCTTGGCTGACATGTAAATGCCAGCATTTAAATACATATTTTTCTCATGAAAATCAGTCTCTCAGCACTTTGGGATAAGATTAGTTTGTGGGGTTGTCCAAATATATGGTGAATATTTAAATCTTTTAAAAATGTATTACAAGCTGGGCATGGTGGCACACGCCTGTAATCCCAGCACTCGGGAGGCTGAGGCAGGAGGATCACTGTGAGTTCGAGACCAGCCTGGGCTACATAGTGAGTTCCAGGTCAGTCTCAACTACATAGTGAGACCCTGTCTCAAAAAACAAACAGACAAACAAAGTCTTCAGGATACCCATTTGGGGCCGGGGATTTAGCTCAGTGGTTCGGTGGCCTGCTTTGCATGCACAAAGACCTGAGTTCAATCCCTGGTACCAAAAAAAAAAGAAAAAGAAAATGTATTACAATAAAAGACACATTGCTGTTAATCTCCATCAAAAAACTCCCCCTCACATTGAACACATTTATTCTGTCATACTTGCCATTTTCTGAAGTAGTTCTGGAAATCCTCTTTTGTGAGCATTTATACAAGGTGTGATCAAAAGTATAATGCCACCCAATACAAAAATAGGGTTGTAAAAAACATTACAGTGTATCCTTATGCACCTTATTCACTGGATCTGGCGCAGTGTGACCTCTGCTTCTCCAAAGTCAAAATGACCATGAAAGGTAAACATTTTTCATAGATTCAGGACATGGAGGAGGCTGTGGCAGCTCAACTAGAGACACTAATAAAGAGGACTTCCAGAACTGCTTCAGAAAGTGGCAAGAACAGTGGGATAAATGTGTTCTTTGTGAGGCATATTTTG